TTACCGACATCTGGTGAAAATTTCATGTCATTAGCACCTCTAGTAATATATTTAATGAGAAAAATGGTGACGTGTTCAATACGTATGTTACTCGCTGTTTATGTTAAGATGCTAGCAGTAGRGGCTAAAATGTCAACAAACATGAAACACTTAAAAACATATAACGCTTGTGCAGCCTAAACAGTCTAAATGAAGTCCATAAAAACTACCGTTAACTTAATAATCACTAAATAAATTAGAATTTTTAGGATGCTGAAAATGACAATCTTCTGTGTTCTATAATAGGGATGAGCAAAATCGCGTAGTCATCAAAAAAACTTTGGCTGGTTATTATTTGGKYCTTGGCACTTAGTAATAAGACATCAGTGGGACCATACAGCTTGTGATATTGACAGCAAATATTTAGAAATCATCAAGTTCACYGACCTCTCCACTCTAAATCACATGACCCAGAGAGAGGCGGTTTAAGTCAGTGAGAGCTGAGCTCAGTGTGTTCCTATGAGATTTTTAGACCGTTTTTGGTCATTTACATTGCCGTGGTAACTCGAAAAGCCAAAAAAAGTAATAGCACACATCACGGGACTAAGCCGGTCACCTTGGTTAACAGTGTGGGTACACTCTGCCATTCAAGCTACATTAAATTTGACGGAAGAATGAAAAGATAYATATTAAGTACTGAGATCTGTTTTTGAGGTGGCTAATAAGATGTTTCCGTTCAACTGAATGGAGGCAGAGGAATGCATTGCTTTGCAAATTCTTCCACCTCCATTCATTTGTAATAGCAAGCCCGAAAAAAATAGTTTTTTTACTGTTAATGAAGTCTATTTGTTGTTCATTCCATACCCAGTTCAGGATATGAGGTCAAAGTTTACCAGGAAAGGGGCGCTGGTCCAGGCCATGGTGGACAGCGCTCCCAGGTAGGCTGTCTTGCGAAGTACATTGAGCTCCTTCTGCCGAATAGCCAGAACTTTGTCTTTGAACGAGTTCTCCCAGGCATACAGCTTCAGGACTTTGATGCCGTTCAGAATCTCGTTCATTAGCTTGATACGCTGGTCCTTGTACTGCATCTGTTCCACCTGAGGATGGCAGGTTAACAAACTGTTCTTAAACTGGGAAAAAAACTGTCTTGAAACTAGAAAGCTAAATAAAATTGAAGCTTAAAAAAGCCTTTGTGGATGATCTTAATAGTTGTGTTGTTATGTGCATATTTTTTTACAAAGAAAAATAAAAAGCTATTAAATTTTATGAAGCAACTGATCAGAAGCAGATAACTGTCAGACACTTATACATGTGGCTGATATTTTAAAGTTTCATTGATGGCACCTGGTAGGCTCGTGTCTTCATGGCAATAAAGGCATTAAAAGGGATGAGCATGATCATGACAGCCACTCCAGCAAGCACAGATGGACCAAGGTTCTGTAAAAAATAATGTAAAATGAAGCCATTTGTCAYTCAATAAGAAGGTATAGTGTAACTAAAGATAAAATAAAATAAAATGCAAATTATACATATGTGTATAATAAACAGAAATCCATCTGATGCTGCAAATTGGAAGTTCTTTAAAACTTTATTAATCTTTAAAAGTCTACTAAGCAAAAAATAAATAAAACTATAATAGCAAATAAATTCAAATTTGCTCCTATATTAGTTCATTTTGTTCTGAATCATGCAAAATTAGAATTAAAAATTTTCTCAATACACAAGAAATACTGTATAGTGCAATCTTTTCACTGTGCATAGTGTTTAAACAATACTTTCCTAAACAAAATWATAACAAAGGAAAAGCTTCAACCTGTCGAGACAAACTGAATTTAAGCAAATATCCCAGTGGCTGTTGCTGAACAACTTTTGTGAAAGAGTCTCCAAAATATCTCAAAACAATCATGGTTCTGTTTCCATTTAATGAAATAAASACTGGTAGACTTCTATCTATCAAGCCATTTTCTAGTTTACACACGTTTTTCTTTCTGGGTCATGTAGAAGTTGGTGCGTGCCTACAGCAGTCATTGGAAGAGAACATTTAAACACAGAAAGGCCGGGGGGAGACTCATTCTTGCTGACAGCACTAACCCCTGCTCTGACATTTTTCTCAAAATAGTCACAGAGATTTAGACACCTGTATAGGAGCCCGGTTTATACAGCAAAATAATTGTGCTGAACTTTGACCCGATTTCGCTCTTCTTACAATCTTAAGGATGCCCTCATTATCATGTTGGCTTAAAAGATGATCTTAGGAGCTCCGATTGTGGATTTTGGATCGTCTTGGCTCAATATTACCAGCGTGTGCGGTGTTTCCTGAGGACTAACGAGCAAACAGCCTGCTGAATGTGACGRGTAGCCAATCAGAAAGAGAGGTGATGGAGTCACAGAGGAAAATCCAAAATACAGACACGAGAAAGATWCAGAAGAAAGTCCACGAACAATAACTACTGCTTCTTCAATGTTGGCCATGTTTATTTACTCTGAACTCACATTTGATCTCGAGAGGTTTTGCGAGYTTTCCCGTCTGACATCTGAATGRTGGTGAGTGAAATCTGTTGTGTGTGGTGTGTTGTCTTTGCCGTGTGGCTGTACACCCAACACTGTAGGACCAAACCTGTTATATCTATGATTTTTTTATCATTGCGTGGGGTTTCTCAGTCTTCCYACAAATTTTAAAATCTTGCCGTGTGAATCAGGCATTAGTCTAAGCATGTCAATGATAAATTACAATTCATTAAAGGAGGTTGGCAACAAAAACATGTGCACAGGATATCTTTGCAGTTAGTTTGCTGTAATTTTTGTGTACCTCCCAGAGGAAATACAAAGCCAGCATYATCTGCAGAGGAGCAGACCACAGCATGTTGAGGAAGGTGGTGAGATCCATGAACCTCTGTGCATCCACAGACATCAGATTCACTATCTCTCCCACTGTAGAGGAACGRTTAGCTGCGTTAGTAATCACCAGAGCCTGCACAGCAATGAAGGGAAGAGAACAAAACACGAGCATTTAAACACTGTTCTCTTTTTACACAACTGATGCCATTTTTTTCTTAGAATTACATCTCAACCCTTTAGAAAACGGTGTGACAATTTGAGGCATACCTTCCTGTAGATGGCACCAATGATAGCGGTGCGGACGTGCATGCCAGTGATGAAACAGTACTGAAAGTGATGGTGGAGGATGAGAGTTTGCAGTAAGGCTGTGAAGAACATGAGGAAGGCCAGCCCATAGCCCCACCAATCAGGGGCAGCCTCCTCTTTGGTGAATGAGATCAACATCCTAGAAAAGCAAAAGAGAAAAAAACGATCAAGGCAATTCTTCCACTGCCTTTATTTGACAAACTTTACTTGAGGGTCAGGGTTGAGAGACCGAGTATGCTATGCAGATGATTATTTAGTTATACAGTATAGACTGAAGAATGGGGATGCCAGGCTGGTGACATTTACAAGCACACCGTCTAGTCAGAGCTCTTCAGTCTGACCAACATCTTTTGGAAATCCCTAGAGCCAAGTCCAAACAGTGGGGCGACCGTTTATTTACTGAAGCTGGTACAAAATTAATTCTCTTTAAGAGGAGGAGTTTAAGTATCTGGATGTCTTGTTCACGAGTGATGGTAGGATGAAARGGGAGATGGATCGATAGATTGGGGCCTCGTCCTCAGTAATGAGGGCGCTACTTCGGTCAGTAGTGGTGAAGAAAAAGCTGAGTCGAAAGGCAAAGCTCTCGATTTACTGGTCTGCCTTCGTTCCAACCCTCACCTATGATCATAAGGCGTGGATAATGACCAAAAGAACGAGATCCCAGATACAAGCGGCTGAAATGAGCTTARTTCGTAGGGAGACCAGGCTCAGCCATAGAGATAGGGTGAGGAGCTCTGTCATCCGGGGGATGCTGCTGCTCCTCCACATCGAAAGGAGTCAGTTGAGGTGGTTCGGGTATCTGATTAAGATGCCTCCTGGACACCTCCCTTTAGAGGTGTTCTGGGCACATCCCACTGGTAGGAGGCCCCAGGGAAGACCCAGGACTCACTGGAGGGATTATGTATCCTCTCTGGCCTGGGGACACCTCAGGGTCCCCCAGGACAAGCTGGAAAGTGTCGATGGGGAGAGGGATGTTTGGGTTTCTCTCCTGGACTTGTTGTCTCAAGGACCCAACTATGGATCAGCAGAAGAAGATGGAGATGGTATAAAATTATGGAATTCATTAACATTTGAGTTAAGCGTGATGAATGATCTATTTTTGTTCAAAGCTAAGCTGAAGACACACTTGTTTAGAACTGCTTGTAGAACACTGTTATTAGTATTTTTCTACCAATATTGTTGGTTTTTATTCCCTTTTTGTACTGAACTAATGGAAAGCACTTTGGTTCAGTAGTCAATGTGCTATATGAATAAAATTTATTCGGTCGGTCGGTCGATTGTAACTTAAAACTGAACTTGTTTTGAAAATAGAACAAAATAGAAGTTTGAATTCTGGGCTGACATCATGCAATTTACTATGGAATTAAATTTGTAAATACATATATTTTATATTTTTACAAATTAAAAAAAGGTTTTTAAGGCCCTGTCACACTAAACAACTTATGCCAACTTATGAAACATTTTCCACATCTACGTTCAGAATACATAGTCAAACTCTGTAAAAAACAACAACTTTTGCTTATCTGATGGGGGTTAAATCATGAGAACTGATGACTTGTATCATCTTATAAAATAATTGCAAGTTTTAGCAAGATAATACATGCAAGATTCTTATTTTGATTGGGTTCCTGCAGTTTCATAGTCAGATGTTCTTCTCAGCTAAATCATGCTGATTGTTATCTAAATTAACARYCTGCATATTTTTATCAGCTGTTCARTAGCATGTAACAAGCAYAAAAAGAKAACATTATAGTTAGAGCTGTTTAAAACGTCTCCTGGCAATCGTGTGATCGAATTATGTGTTCATCTGCAAAACAACAACTGATGCTTCAAGGGTTGAAGAAACCAAAACCTGCAGAAAAATTAAACCTACAAATAAATTAAACTCATAAATAAATTTGTGATAAAGCTGCACAGTTTAAAATGCTGCTAACCGTAAGCTAGTTTCACATACATAAACTTAGCACAAAAATTAATAAAAAAATGTGTTTGGTGGATTATTACTTCTTCTTTGTTGTAACAATGCTTCTTGGCAATAAATCTTTCACCATTGGAAGGCCTGTTAATTTCCCTTTTGAATGGTGCCACATTTGTAAGGAACATGCATTTGTGCAGTAGAGCTGAGTATATGGGTTGCTTATTTTGTTGTTGATAATGACACTAGTTTTAAGCTTCTGGTGCCCTTACGTGCTGCCAATCAGGTGCCTGGTTTGCACCTCATTGGCAATCCCATCTCTCTATAGTCTGGGACTGAGTTTTATTGTCAGAGATGACAACGCTCGACCCCACAGATGGAATGGCCTTCCAGCAGTTCTGACCTCAACCTTATTGAATACTTGTGAGATTAGGTTGTGCGTTTTCAAAAATGTCTTGCATGCCCTGTTTGTGAAGATTATCAATTGTCTCAGAAGCTGCATGGCTTCTCTATCAGGAATTTTTAACATTCAAAAAATTAGATTGACAAATTTTCTCTCCAAATAATCACAAAGTCATCACAGGTATCTGGAACCTATCTCACATATATCATTTTAGTCTCCAAGGTAAAGTTAGAAAGAAATTTGATACAATTTTAGGAGGGTTTGACAACCAAATTGCCTGTCAATTAGATTTTTACCCTTATTAATAGTAAAAGCTCTTCTATCTTTATTTTTATATATAAAGATAATGATAATGGTTATATTAGAATAACACAGGCAAAAATAACCTCAAAAATAGTTATTTCTAGGCCATTTACATTTTAAAATAAAATTAGTTCTTATTAAGTTTGAGCTTTGTCAATGTGACACTTGTGGTACCAAGTTTGTTCAATTTTTGTTATCTTAAATATTATGACTATACCAAAACACACAGAAAAAAATAGTGGTTAAGCATCTCTGATATCTCATCTCACTGATATTCAGAGAAAAGGCCTTCACTGAATGTCTGTTTGCACAAAATTTTCATTCTGGTCTGTTTGAAACATGAACAGGAAACATATTTACATCCTGAACAAAGACAGCATACATTTTAAATAAAGACCTCTGAACCTACCTACTTTGGATAAAACAAACTAAGATGCAAACATACAAATACGACATGCAAAAAGTGTTCCAAAATTAGAATTTTACTCCAATGGAACAATGGTTGTTTATGCTTATGAGTTGCAGCAAAGACAGGAGGAAGTAAAACGCTCACCTGAGCAGCTGGGGATTGACAAATGTGATAACATCCTGCAGGAGTTTGAAGGCTGAGCCAATCAGAAAGTAGGGACCAAAGGCTTTGAGAAGTGCCCGTAGGAAGGACGGCTGGCGAGAGGGAACTTTCTGACTGGACAGCAGCACCTCGACTTCCTCTGGGCTGCTCTGATCTGGTCCTCCTCCCCCTGCAGTGTGGTTGGTGGTCGACGGTGGGGGCTTGGAGTATTCAACCTGGTTGGACAGATGTGACTCACTGTGGAGTCAGGGGTTTGGATGTTGGGGATAACAAAAAAAGAAAAAAGAAACAACAGATGTTTGATTAGATATTCTGTTTTCTGAATGTCTGAATCTACACCATTCTCAAAAGGTTCTGAGGTTCTGTTGATTAATTGTCAGGTGTTGGTTTGATCGCATGATGTCAAAATGTGAACAGCATGGTGAGGAGGACGGTTTGAAAACAAATTCTACCAGTAATTGAAGCAGGTAATTTCTCGGTTCATCATCTGACGATTACTAGCACACAAGATGATTTTGACCAACCCTAAGAGGAATGTGCTGTCATCTGATGAGACGAAACTGAACTGAACACCAAGTCCAACACCAACCTGACACCTCYTCCTGCTGAGAACACTCTCTCCACAGTGATACACAGTAGTGGCAGCATCATGATATGGGGATGTTTGTCAWWAGCAGGGACTGGGAAACTGGTTGAAGGAGCAAAATACAGAGAAATTCTTGAGAGGATCTTGTTAGAGTCTTCCAGATCTATGAGACTGGAACACAGCAGCAGGACTGTGACTTAAAACATTATGCTGAAGCACAACTTATTTGTGTTAAAGGGGCAATATCAGGTAAAATCAACTTTTTTGAGTTTTATATCATATAATGTTATACTTTCATAAAAACATGCCCAAAGCCTTGCTCTGACTCATTCATTCATGCATGTTTGAGAAATCCTGCAGCGTTTTTAGGCAACCATGCTGAGTTGCAAAATGACTCTGGTGGGGACCAGAAACGCCCTTGGAACGTGTCTTTAAGCCGAACATCCTCATGGCAGAGTGCACGCCCCCCCTCCCCAAACAC